CAATCCCTTTCATCATTTCTGTACCTTCACCCCGGATCCATGATCCGTGCATGTGCCTAGTACTTTTCAAACCTTGTTTCTGTTGTCTGGGTCTTCCACCCAACTTCCCTCATTACGTTTTTTTCCTTTGTGCAATGCGCTGATCCAGTGTTGAGGGACTGCTCTTTTTACTCGCTCATAGTTAAACTCCTGATGTCTGAGTCTTGAAAGTCTCCCTCTTAGCTCATCCAAGGTGTGTCATTTGGCTGCCTCTTCGTCCCATGCATCTTTCAGTTGGATAACACATTTTTCAATCCAGGCTTTCCCAAAAGAGCCTATACTACCATAAACTTTCAATTTCTGTCCATTTTCCAAAATAAATCTGTTTTCAAATAAGATCTGGTTTAATATTTTCCCTTTAGATCTAGGCCCCGCTATTAACTGAGGCCTCACCTTTCTCCAGGCTCGAACAATGTTCTGCCAAATTTTGGACCTTGGTCTCCTTTGAGTATATGAGTCTATCATGAAGCATAGCCACACATGCGAAGGCTCTTTCAAAGACCATTCGTCCATAAGGATGTACACAGCCAGCTTGAGCCAACATTTTTCTGTGTCCCCATTAATTGCAACAATCGGCCATTTTACCAGCAGAGCTATATTCTGTTGCATGGGATCTAAAATCCCTAAACCCCCTTGACTTCTGGCGCAACTAATGATTTCCCATGCGGCCTTTACTATAAAGTTTTGATCTTCCGATGCCAAAGGTTTCCATATGTATTTAACCGCTGTTTGTTTTATTTACGGATATGCCTCCTCACTTAACAAATGAATCATACAGGGGAACCAAAGAATCGAGAAAGCTACAGATAAAAGTACCAGGGTCCTCCCAAATAGGGGCAATTGGTGGTTCCGCACCCAGCCGTTAATCCTAGCCACTACCTTTTCTGTTAAGAGGTTATCTTGAATTGCAGAGCAGTCCGCCAAAGATACCTGTACCCCCAACAATCTCTCAGCAGTATTTGTGGGAATTCATCTCAGTCCCCATTCCATCTCCAGTGAGAGCAAGGGTGACAAAAAATAAACTGATTTATCCCAATTGATCGAGGCCTCCGACATATCACAATAGCTATCTAACACTCTCTTCAACTCCTCCAAAGGCTCTTTCTTATTTTCACATGCTACGGTGAGGTCGTCTGCAATGACCCCTCCTTTCCAATGAATCTGTGGAGGGAGATGCAACCCAACTATCTTCTCATTGCTCCTAATGTTATGCAACAACACTTATAATTGGGTGACAAAGAGCAGGGGGGCAAGAGGACACCCTTGTCTTAAAGACCTTGACAACTGAAATTTTGTTGACATCTGACTATTCATAACAGAAAAATTCCCACGAGAAATGAAAGTTGAAAAAACATTCCATAAAAAAAAAATCCTTCATATTTATAATTACCATTCCAATGTTTGCCCAATTCCAAAATTTTCAGTTTTATTTGATAAGTTCCCGTCTAAATATGAGCTTTCCCTTCCAACTACATTTATTTGTTCAAGATGGAATGAAAGTCTAGACGAGTTTATGAAATGTTTTAATTAAATTTTCATTCTAGTACAACAAATACCTTTTTATTTAGATTGGATTAACCTATTTATGATTTAAAATACTTACTTAGAATGACAGTCCAATTAAAATATTTCATGAACTCATCCAGACTTTCATTCCACCTCTAGCATGCAACCCGAATAAGAAGGAATACCCTATTCTTGGAATGAAAGTTTGCAACTAAGATGAAAATTTTAAAAATTGGAATGACATTTTTTAAGATGGAATGAAAATTTGAAATTTAGATTGTAATTTTACTATAGAATGATTATTTAATTATGGGAATTTTTTTCGTTGCACCATAACGATTGATGACGCCTCTGTATACATTGCTTTAACCCATGTATTAAAACCTTCTCCAAAACTCATCTTGTCCAGGGAGGTGAATACAAACGCCCATCCTACCTTATCATATGTTTTTTCCATATCTAGTAGTAGGATCGCCACTTCCCTCTTTTCCTTACCAATCACCTCTAGTGCCTGAATGATCGACATTATGTTGTCAAAGATAAATCTTTTCTTCACAAAAGCCCCTTGCTCTCTGCCTACTAGGCTAGGAAGATACTCTGCTAATCTAATTGCCAGGGTTTTTGCCAATATTTTGTATGTCACATTTAGCACCGAGATAGGCCGATAGTTCCTTACTTCCCTCTTATCTCCTTTTTTGTATAATAGAGATATTGCCCCTGTCAACCATCGATTTGGCAAATGGCCTGTCCCCAGGCTATTGTTGAAAATCTGGCATAGGAAAGGGGCAAAGGCATCCCATGTGCTAAGATAAAGTTTTACTGGCAACCCATCTAAGCCTGGGCATTTGCCCTTTGCCATCCTCTTAGCTGCTATGTATAGCTCATAAGTAGTAAAGGGAGCATCCAATGCTTCCTTGGCCTCCCGTGACACTTTGGACCTCAGACCGTCCCAAAAATTTGAAACTAGGGAGAGATTTGTATCCGCTGTATCCCGAGGTCTCCTAGTGGCCACAATGTCTTGAAAATAAGCTTTTGCATGAGAACACATCTCCGTCGGGCTTGTGGCCTCTGGGACATTAAGTGCAAAGGGATGTTTTAGCTCCCTAATTACGGGCCTTGTCTGTCTCATGATCAAACTTCTAAAAGTGATATTTGTCATTCGGTCATAGCCTACTATCCCTCTGATCTTTAACCAGTCCAATCACTCTTCCTGCTTTTTTGCTTCCAACTTTTTCAAAATGGCCAGGTTCTTCTTCCTCTGCTCTGTCCAATAGTATTCCGTAAATGGATCCCCCACCATTTTGGACTCTGCATCTTTAACTACTTCCTCCACCTTCATTTCTTCCGCCCTTCTGTTCGCTGCCCGCATTCTTAAAAAAATGTAAAATGCCGCCGTAATTATCCCTAGTCCCACTTCCACCCATTTCTCCTCATGGCTGAACAGGTCCTTAGCTCCCATCCACTTCTTCATTTGAGAGCTCACCCACTCAACTATTCCCTTCTCCTTCAGATGGGACGTATTCAAGCGAAACGGCGGTTTAACTGATTGAAATTGTTCCTTAGCCACTATGTCCATTCCCACTGGTGAGTGATCCGATGATGAGGCCACCAGGGTATCACACCACCAACATCTGTCCCAAACTGTGCCCCTAGCCAAGAAGAAATCCAATCTCCTTTCTGGCTGTTGTGCTTGTTTCGCAGGCCGGGGTCCCACTGAGGTGTATCTGCTCGAGTCTGGATTCAGAGTCCTATATACGTCGTTCACACTCTGTGCATCCATTAATGACATGAGCATCGTGGTATCTTCCCTGATTGAGGTAGGATTCTGCGAGTCAAGACCCGGGTTAAAGATCGTATTCCAATCCCTGTCCATTATCAAATTTTCAACGTCGGGGATCCAGAATGGTAGGGAGGCAAAGAACCTCGTTCTCTCTTTGTATTCCACCGGGGCATATATTGACATAATCGCCCAATCTTCATCTTCCACCGCCAGTTTAACCCAAACTACTCTTCCTCTAGGATCAATGAAATGATCAATCACTACAACATCTAAATCTAATTAGAATGGCCACACCCCCACGAGTCTCTTGCGCTGGGGCCCAAAACTGGGGCGCCTTCCACCATTTCTTAGCATGCTCAATCTTTTCTAGATCCAACTTTGTTTCCTGTAAATGTGTACATTATGGTCATGCAGCCATGTCGCCACACTCTCTTTCTTATGTCTGTTTGAAGTATCCCCTAAACCTCTGACATTCCATGTTACGACTCTAAGATTCTTGGGCAAGACCATCAGACTGGTCCTTGCCGCCTAGAATTTGGATGCGGGTTTCGGGTTCCTTCTCTTCTTCTGCAGACGAGTTACCTTGAGAGCAGGAGGCTGCCGCCCATTCATGGAGCACCGGGCCACTGGTTGTCAGCTGTTGCTGAGCATCAGACATGTGCAGCCAATCTGCCACCTGTACAGCATTCCACTTTTTCCCCAATCTGATACCTTTCAGTATTTCTTTATCTACCGTCAGAAAAGGTGTCACTGGATTCCAGTGAACTTGGAGCTGCTGCCACTGCTCCCTTGTTCCCTCCAGGGGGATCAGACTGAGAAAAGCCAAGTGTAGAAAAGTCTTTTCCTCCTGGATTGTCAATAATGAATCTGCCCATTTTTCGTTCCTGTAGTAGTGCCACTGTTCCCATACCTTGAGTACCACGGTCTGGGCCAAGTCTACCATAGTACCCTCCGTAGGTTGCGACTGTACTGGGACCAGTGGGATCTCCAATACCTCGTCGCTTTCTTTTGGTGCGAGTAGGCACATTCCCAACTGGGTGGTTGTGCAGATCAGAGGAACTAAGCAGTGCAGATCAGAGGAACTAAGCAGGAACTAAACTGTGCAGATCAGAGGAACTAAGCTGCTACCATTTTCCCACGGCACAGCATTTTCCTTTTTTTTATCGTTTTTAAAAGGGCGAGGCCAGGTCCCACGGCACCGCATTTTCCTTCTTTTTTTTATTTTTATTTTTTATCGTTTTTAAAAGGGCGACGGCCGTTAGATGTCATTATTCTCTTCATCTGAAGGTATCTGGATTTGAACTTGGGTTTTGACAGTTCAGGGGTATACCAACTTCGGCGGTGCATTTTTTCTTTCTGACCGCCAATTGTGGAGATCGACAGCGAGAAATGGAAAGCGAGCTGCTGTGCGAGGTTTGAGAGAGAAAGAAGGGATAGGAAAGGAGGGGAGGAGGGGAAGAAGGGATAGGAAAGGAGGTGGGAGGGGAAGAAGGGATAGGAAAGAGGGGGGGGAGGGGAAGAGGGAGTCCAATTAGGCGTGTTTCTTGTCTGTCTGTGTAGCTGTCTGTCTGTCTGTCTTTCTGTTGGTGAATTAGTCAGACTCGGAGTGATGGCAGCCATGGCGATTGCTGGACACGTGTCGTCTTCTCAGTGTGGTTTTCGTATCAGAGAGCCTACGGAGCAACTGCTATCTTCCTCTTCTCCGTCATCGTCAAAGTTGTCCTCCTGCCTTCCTCGGTCCCCATGCTCGACTGCGAGGTGTGCTCGTCCTGCCTCCACCCCGCCTCCTCCTCCTCCTCCCTCTCCTCCTCCTCTTTGCACTGTGAATCAGCATCTAGGTAGTGTTCCCGCCAATAGGACAACTATTAGCCATAGTGATCGGAGATGCTGTAGCCGGTCATCTTCATCTTCATCTTCATCTTCTGTTCATGCCAATCCCCGGCTATGGCGGTCCACCTCTTCTTCATCTTGTCCGTCTTCTTCCTGTTCTTCTGCGTCTTCTTTCTCGTCTTCTTCCTGCTCTTCTCTCTCCGTCTTCGCGCGTCGACGAAGACCTTCTTCTTCTTCTTCTCCTTTTTGTTCTTCTTCTTCTTCTTCTTCTTCTGGTTTTGCACAGATTAGGACGGACATGAGTCACAGTGTCTCCTCCCTTTCCTCCCTCCCCGTAGACATGCAGAAGCATACCGTTGAGTATCGTCTTTCGGTCCATCTGATGACGACTCCTGTCACTTCCCGCCGGTACGGGTGTCGTCGATCGAGCAAGCCAACCAAATCCACCTGGCTGCGATCTCACGCCGGGAATTCCACGGACGTTATACGTTGCCGGGCTGTCAGGCAAGGGAGCGGGCCGAGTGCCTTGCCGTCTTCTTTGTCTCCTTCCCTTTCTTCTCCCTCGTCTATCCAGCTCAGCATGGATGTCGACGATGTCAGTAATCCTCCTCCTCCTTCTCCTCCTCCTTCTTCTTCTTCTCCTTCTTCTTCTTCTTCTTCTTCTTCTTCTTCTTCTTCGTCTTTGATTGGCCCCGGCGGCGCCGGTAATTCTTTCTCCTCATCGACAGAAGAAATTTTGGCAAATTTAACGAATCCTTTCGAGGTTAAGACTACGGAAGAGTTGTTCCAGAAAGTAGCAGAGGAGGGACCACCACCTCCTATTCCTAATTTCGGGTACAGTCAACAGTACGTGGACGATGACGTGGCCGATCCTAAGCCACCCATTCCAGATCGCAAAGAGAACTCCATTCCTAATAAGTTCTACGAGATTGCATTTAATCGACTTGTGGAATTCAATGGCGTCGAATTTTTGAAGGACAAGGACTCTGGGTGGGGTGTCTATGCGGCTCAAGACTTTCCAATCTCTGAGGATCCAAGGGTTGTTATGTCCATCCCCGTTGAAGTGATGCTGAGCTGCTGCACCGAGCTTCCATGGCGGTTTAATCCTGACATAGTCCCGATGGGTCATCCAATCTTCGACATTATCAATTCTACAGACCCTAAGGAAGATTGGGATGTCCGACTGGCATGCCTGTTGCTCCTTGGAATGGACCAGGCGGACTGTTTCTGGTCCAGGTATTCCAAGTTCCTTCCAAGTCCCAAGGAGCTGACCTCCCTTCTGCTTGCCAGTCCAGAAGAACTGCAGCAATTTCAAGATGATAGCGTTGTGGAATACGCGATTGCGCAGCAGGAGCGGGCGGAGGCTCTGCATGCCAAGTACTGGCCGGCGGACTGCATGCTGAAGTTGAGCAGACTCTGTCGAACGCCGCATCGCTTCAAGTGGGCCTTGGGAATTGTGAGGAGCCGGCAGTTCGCGATGAAACTGCTCTTGGGACCGCTGGAACTCCCATCCAATGTCCTCTCGCCTTATGCGGACATGATTAATCACTCCTTTGACCCTAATTGCACGTACCGGTGGGATCAGAACGAGCGGCTCCTGGAAGTAGTGCTATTTGGAGGGCAGGAGATTACTGCTGGCACGCAATTGACCGTCGATTACGGTTACGAGGAAGGCAACGACTTCTACTTGAGGATGTTTGGCTTCTCGATGGCAGATAACCCCTTCGGCTGCGTAAGTTTTTCGGGCGCCAATCGAGTGCATCAGGAGTCCTTCCTCTCTGCGTTCAATATATGTCGATTGGAGAACGAGTACTATCACGCTGGAGGAGTTGATGGGTCAGCGGATGACATCGTCGATGGAACGATGATGGCCGTGGCGCGCATGCTTCCCACGTGGTCTAGCGGGGACTGGCCAGCCATGCCGTCGGAGGAGAGAGCCGCCGCTCGACGGCTCCAGAGGGAGGCCTCCGACTTGTTATCGAGATTCCCGACTACGTTGAAAGAGGACAAAAGAATTTGGGAGAATGAGTCTCCCACGCAGTCGCCCATGTGGAAAGCTGCAGTGAAGTTCCGCATGGACCGAAAGATGCTTTTGCACAAAACGATTGATGCTTTGCACCGGTACTCCACGAACATTTTGTATTGAAGATTACGATTGGTCCTCTCTCTCTCTCTCTCTCTCTCTCTCTTTTTTTTCTGTTGCTTGGTCTTTCTTTGACTCTCTCTGTTTCTCGTGCACCCGCGGGCTCGAATTCGGGAGAGAGTGAAGCAGCGTATGCACACGGGTGTGCATATGGTCAACCACAACACATTGACAGAGACATGTAGAGTAATTAGTCTTTTAGGGTTTTTGAGGACAGGAGCGAGAGTGATTCTCGATCGATGCGTTGTATACATTGATGACCAGGGTGCTTTGCGCTTGGGGAAGGACGGGGCGCTCGCGGCTTACAATTCTCTCTCTCTCTCTCTCTCTCTCTCTCCCCCCAAAGCTGTAAGACAACAAACTCCAAGTAGCGTCCTGTCTGGGACTAGCGGCATAACCAGCCCTGGTTACCGTCTTCCCGCGAAGAACCCTCATCATGAATGCATACAAGCTATTTTTCCAGCCCGGTACAGTCATGATGAGGGTGCGTTGTGTTCGACGGCAGACTTCCGTGAGGTTGGATAGGACAGCCCTGGCTATGTATGGCAGGACAGGAGAGAGGTAAGTACATGTAGAGGTTAAGAAAGAGAGAGAGAGAGAGAGGATGAAAAAGAAGGTGGGATGGCGGCTATGGTGGCTGGGGCGGCGTGATAGCCACTATACCCGCCAGTCAACCTTCTTTTCCCTCTCTCTCTAGCGTCTCCGAATTAGGGTTTTCCGTCTTCTAGTGTATCGAACGCGTCTTCTAGTGTATCGAACGCGCCTTGAGTCTTCTTACGATACAGTAGCGTCTGACCATTTGACCTCCCTAGAACTCCAAAGACTCCTAGAATCAAGTTAGGACCACGGCGGCGAGTGCAAGCCACCATAGCCAATGACTTGCGGGGAGTAGCACGCCCCAGAGCCCATGGTTCTGCATGCTGCACCTTGGTGCTTGGCAGAAGGAAGCCAACGACAGGGCAGTTCTCTATGATGGTATAAGGAAACATGTATTGTCACAGAGAACTGCCCAGCAAGCCGCAGGCAGAGAGAGTGAAAGGACAAGGAAGGGGGGGGCTTTGACAGTCTGTTTAGAGGGGATTCCACATGCATCTCTCTCTCTCTCTCTCTCTCTCTCTCTCTCTCTCTCTCTCTCTCTCTCTCTCTCTTTTGCGTTATGGGTTTGTGCACGTTGCAAACATACACACGCACCTCTTGACGAGTCGTTGAAAGTCCGACGAAACAGTCTGGCACAGTCGTGCTTTTTTGAGGGCATAGCGAATATGACCACCCCCCCTCTCTTCCCCCCCCCCCCCCCCACACACACACACACACAGACATAGCAGACGAATCAGTCTGGTATAGTCGAGAAGGCGACACAGGCGCACTCTCTCTCTTTCTCTCTCTCTCTCTCTCTCTCTCTCTCTCTCTCTCTCACACACACACATGACGGATTCTGCTCTGCGCGTGTTTCGCTCTTTGTGGCGCGCCACGTGTTTCCTTAAAAGACAATATGTCTTTCTGTCATATTTTCTCCTATCTCCTCCTGTACTACTCCCCCCACCGTACTCCGCCGGATCGTCATTTTTTCTCTTTTTTTTTTTTTTTTTTTTTTTTGCGTTTTCGGTCCTTATTTTCTCTGCTATTCAATCACCTCCTCCTTTAGATCAAGATCTGCCCCTCCCGAAAAAGACACCCCCCCAAAAAAAATCAAGATCTGGCCCTCATCATGCTTGGCCTCCTTTCTTTCCATCCTCGTTGGCAAGATTACTCTTATCTGCCACGTCATCATCACCGAAAGTTCACTGCCCCATCTTCGTTGCCTTGTACCATCGCCACGCATTGCCTGGTCATTATCGCTGTATCTGGACGAGAAGTTGTTCGAAATACAGCTGTAATGACCCCAGGCGTTCCTATTCGGATGAAGACAGTAGCTCTCTTCACAACCCCGACCCACTACGTCATCCTCGTCCTTTCATCTTTTTTTTTTTTTTTTCCTCCTTCTTGAATTCTCAATTTGTGTGTCATCCTTGCGCAGGGGCCATACATATAAAATCTTCTGTGTATTCGTTCCAATTTTAACGGATGTCCCTCAGCCTATCGAGAAGTTCCTTGGGTTTCCCCTTAATCGAAAAAACCAATTTTGTGGTTCATCTCTCCTCTTTGCCTAAGCCTTAAACCCGTATATCTTTGTCCTCGGCATTTTCCCCTCTTAACACCACCTACTTCTCCTCTCTCCATTTTCTTTCGCTTCGCTATTCTGCCCGCCTCCCCTTTGCCACTTCACGTGGCATGTGGCTCCTCCTCTCTCACTCATCGGTCGTCGTCAATGATGTGTACGCGTGTTCGAAACCCGAGCCAGATACATATGCCTCCGTCCTTGCGTGCATCTTCTAGAGCCTTCCTTTGCACAGGAGGTGGTCAGCTGACAGCTGAACTGTTATCTGTATTTGGTCAGACTGGCAGTCTACATAAATCGGTAAAAATGATCGTGCGTTCTACTCGGGGAACCTCTCCAGCCGTCAGCAAAGCTTGGTCAGCCCGTATATATATAATATAAATGCTGCCGAAGTCGATGTCCTGCTGCTATTGTGAACTACCGTACTCTTCTTTCCTCGTCCTCCCTTCTCCCCTCCCTTTCTTCTTCCTCCCTCTTCCTCCCTCTTCCTCCCTCTTCCTCCCTCTTCCTCTTCCTCTTCCTCCCTCTTCCTCCCTCTTCCTCCCTCTTCCTCCCCCTTCCTCCCCTTCCTCTTCCTGTTCCTCCTGTTGGTCCCTCTTCCTCCCTCTTCCTCCCTCTTCCTCCCTCTTCCTCCCTCTTCCTCCCCTCCCTCTTCCTCCCCTCCTTCTTCCTGTTCCTCCTCTTCCTCCCTGTTACTCTTCCTCTTCTTCCTATTTCCCTCTTCCTCCTCCTTCAGATGCCCTTCCCTCTCCTTGTTCTTGTCATTTTTCTTCTGTCCATTTCGTCTGACCTTTTAACTCTTCTCGTGCTTGTCGAGAAGCTCAACACACCGCCCTTGGAGAATCTGGATCTGGTTCTTGGTCCTTGGTCTGATTCCTGCCGCTGTTGCGGCTATTTTTCTCTGTTTTTTTTTTCTAACGTTTCTCTGGTTCGTTATTTCTTCTTTTTTTTTTTGCTGTTTCTTTTTCGTTTTTCTGCTTCGGGATGGCTCTCCATCTGCCTCAGCCCCTTCTCTGTTCGTCTTCTTCCTTTTCTCTCCGTCTCTCTCCTTTTCTCTTGCCATGCTGCGTCTATGTTCACCAACCAGCCGTAGGCAACCTGTGTGTTCGTCTATCTAGTCATCTCTATCCCCCAACTTATCCCTATCTATTGATTGATCTCTTTCTGTTTACTTCTATTGATTGTTCTCTTTCTGTTTACTTCTTAGTCGCTTCATATCTTTCAATCCCTCCATCCCCATGAAGACCCCATCTATCTATTTCATCTCTCTCTCTCTCTCTCTCACACACACACACACACACACACACACACACACTCCTGACAGCTCTCTCCCTCTCTCTCTCTCTTTCTCGCTCACTCCGACTCGGGCTTTTTTTTTTGTACAGTTGTGCATAGCAAACATGACAATACACAACATTATTCGGCCAGGGCCGAGGCCATACAAGCGCTTATGGCATTGGGTATTCATGGTTGAGTGGTGAGTGGGTGTGTAGAGTGGGTTTCATGGCAGTGTCAGACTAGTTTTCCAGACTTAATGCCATTCTTGCCAGGGGTTTGTGCAGGGTTCTGACGGAACAGTTTGCGGATAGCGCCAGCTATGGATGTCCGGGGGTGCTGGTAATCAAGCCAGGATAGACACTTTGCGGGCTGAAATCTAGTTGCAGTTGCGGTCAAATGCATGCAAGGGAAGTCCATGGCTGTTGCCTGCCTGAAATGCGTCTGTTTTGGTCAGACACTTCTGAGAAAGTCCGAGTGCGAATTGGTGCATAGCACGTGAAGAAGTGTTGTGCCACCTGCAGTTGTCAAAAGCAACATCAACTCGAGGAATGGGGTAGATGAATGAAAACAGACTTGCAGACATCAAATGTGTGTGTGTGTGTGTGTGTGTGTGTGTGTGTGTGCGCGTGCGTGCGTGCGTGTGTGTGTGGGGTGCCGGTCGCTTTCCTACCTTTCAGAATTCCTTTGGTATCGTACATTTTTGCCGCAGTTGAATAGCTTTTTGCATGGTTCTACGCCGTTCTCTCTCTGTGTGTGTGTGTGTGTACGCATACGTT